GGATAAGCACTTGACTACGGGCTGAAAGGTCGGCAGTTGGACCCACTTGAGACAGGAGAGGATAAGACAGACAATCTGCTTCCCTAAGCAGTTCTGTTTGCATACACAGGCTGCCACAAGGCGGAATTGACAAGGCAACACCTAACAACAGTAGTGACATTATTATAATAAGTCTTTTCTATCACTGCCATCGATGACTGCCCACGAGGGAGCCCCCAGTTCATCGACAGCGCGCTCTGCTTTTATCAGCTTTTGCCTGGTGGTGAGCCAGCCTGCCACTTCTCCACGGGAGGCCGGAGATGCTACCTCAAGATGATCAGAGTTTCCTTTTTAGTTTTGCTTGGGGAAAACATTTTATTGCCAGGCAGGTTTGGAAAATTGAGGTTTTCATTGTGTTTTCTCCTTTGTCTCTCCCAGTGGAAAAATGAGAGGAAATGAGGAGTGATGATTTGAGGCCCAAATCTTAAAATTGCAGTTTTGAGAGGAGAGCACTTTAACTGGCCCTGCCTCTGTCCCTTGGGGCCAAGATGGCGGCAGGCGATGGGGTTGGGGAGAGAAGGAAATTGTGACAATTTTCTGTGTTCTAAGAAACTAGTTTTATATGTGTGTGTGTTGGGGGGGAGGGAAGGGATTCAAAGGTGTAACTCTGCAAAGAAAGCTCTGTGTTGGGTTTAGTTTAGGTCACTTCTAGGTCAAAATGTGGTCCCAGCCCATGGAGTCAGCCTTACCTGGGAAGCTGCTGAAGTTTACATGTCTAAGCTACTCTCCTGATGGGCTGTTTTAATAATTAAGTTAACATACCTTCAAGTTTGAGACCCCACTCTCATTGGTTCAGGGAGCTCTGATGGCCTACGGGTAGGGAGTTGAGTTATCAGCTCAAACATGGGCGGTTTAAGTCCACCAGCTGCTTTGTGAGAGAAAGATAGGCAGTCTCCTACATATTTTAAAATGTGCCTTGAAATGATAATTTTCTTCCTGTGTTCCTTACCCGACATGTGGGTTCAGCCACATAGCCAATACTGTCACTTTCAACTGAAAAGCTGCTGGAGGGTCAGCTCTGAGGTGGTTCCAAGCTGATGCAGGTGAGAGTGTGTTGTGGATAAAGTATTCGCTCACTACTATCTAAGATGTTGGCAGTTCAAATCCACCAGCTTCTCTCTGAGACAAATATCAGGCAGACTGCATCTGTAAAGATATTACCCTCTGCTATCAAGTGACTTCTGACTCACAGCAATACTAAAGGATACAGCAGACCTGCCCCTTTGGGTTTGCAAGGCTGTAAATTCTTAAGGGAGCACATTGCCTCTTCTTTTACCAGGAGAGAGGCTGGTGGGTTCAAACTGCCAACCTTATTGGCAAGCAGCAGGATGCCTTAACCACAGCACCACTGGTGCTCCTTCCATAAAGACTGACAGCCTTGGACACCCTCAGGCTTCTACTCTGTCTACAGGGTTGTGAAGGGTTACAGGGGACTCAGAGGCTGTGGGTTTGAGGTGAGGGGAATGCTTGTTTAAATAAAGTCACACAGGTTTGCTTGCTCTGTTTTTTCATCTTAACTTCTAATATGCTAACATTTACTATGACTCCTTAGGGAGGAAATAAAATATACAATGTCTCTCAAGTGAATTTAGCTGGAATGCGTATTTTCATGGGCATCAGAGAAGCTGTGCTATAGACCACACTGTGGTCAGACACAGAAAGACTTAACTCCTGGCTGCTGGCATCCTGAGATTTCCCATTTCCAGCTCCCAAGTCAATGTTACCACCAGGAATAAGACTCCTGGAATCCTCTTGGGTTTAATGTTGAGCTCAGGTTCTGTTAGCTGTCACGAAACACTGAGATTAATGAGACTAATGCTATTGTTACGTGCTGTTGAGTGGAACCGACTCATAGCTGATCTTCTCAAGGGTTTTCATAAGTTGGAAACTGCGTGGAAGAAGAGCACCCATCTTGCTCTCATGCAGCAGCTTGTGGATTGGAACTACCTGACTTTGGTTTGGCAGCACAATTCCTTAGCCATTAGGCCACTCGAGCTCCCTAGAATAATATTACATGTAATATATAATATTGGAAGGAGGAGTGGCATCCACTTCCATAATAGCTTGCCTCCGGAAACCCTATGAACCTGGAGAGAGGACGAAAGGCACCCAAGCGTCCAGGACTCTCCTTCATAGGGTCGCTATGAGTCGCCTGCGACTGTAGCGCACTTAACAACAACAACAACAACAACATATAATATGTTTTTGTTGCTGTGTACTGTTACAGTGGGTTTTCAGAGGTAGTTAATTGCATGAAAGGAGACTGCCCATCCTTCTCCCACCAAGCAGCTGGTGGGTTTGAACCGCTTTCCTTCAGGATTGTAGCACAGATTCTTACCACTACGCCACCAGAGCTCCCTAATATATATATGTAATGTAGTATCATATAATAACAATACTGACAGACCATCGTCAACCACCCTGCACAGGGACTGAGGGGCAACCAGAGCAGCCTGGTGGAGCAGTGACAATTATCTCCAAAAGGTGGCGCTCGCAGCTGGAATGATTTTCTAGATTCTGTTGAAAGTGACAATATTGCTATGTGGCTGAACCACATGGTGGGTGAGGTGTACAGGAAGGAAATGATCATTTCAGGGCACATTTTATAACATGTATGCTCTTTCTCAGCTATCTTTAGTTCCTTGGTGCAAGGAAAAGTATGTAAGACTGAATCAGGTTTGAAGCTTCCTGAGTCATTTTTGATTTAATGACTCATGTAACACAGCAAAACCGCCCCATTGACTTTCTTAGGGTAGGTCACCCTTACAGCAGGGGCTCTGGTCACCCTTACAGCAGGGGCTCTGGTCACCCTTACAGCAGGGGCTCTGGTGGCCCTCACAGCGGGGGCTCTGGTGGTCCTCACAGCGGGGGGACTCTGGTGGTCTGGTGGTAAGGAGCTGTGCTGTCAACCAAAAGGCACATGTGGCTTGAATCCACCAGCTGCTAAGAGGCAGAAGGATGGGCAGTTTCTTCCTGTGTGACTTACTACCTCTGAAAACCCACTGGAGGGTCAGCTATGGGTTGGTTCTGATCCAATAATACACAACAACAACAACAATCCTTACATGAGTAGGTCTTCTTTTACTAAGTCATTGGGCGGGTTCATACCACCCAGTTTTTGGTTACCATCTGACTGCTTAAAGACCTGTACCACTAAAGCTCCTCAGATTTGAAATAGTTGATGGATTTAGATGGAGAAATGAAGTAGTGAATTTTTATCCAACTTAATATTTCTGTATTTTAATTTCTCAAACACTTCAAAAAACATATTATATATCAGAAATTAAAATTTAACTGGTTGGCTAGTATCTCTCAAATGATAAGTATGGCAATTCCACAAAACCATTTCCATGTTGTCTCTTCTTTCTCCTTCCTAGTTTGAATTGGGGTCCCTGAAATATGTGAGGAGCTCTGGACGTGTAGTTTGTTGGCTGTTGTGCTCCTAACCAAAATGTTATGTCTCCAGTGGTTCAAATCCATCAGTTGCTCCTTGAGAGAATGATGTGCCATCTCCTCTCCTGCAATTTAAACCTGAAGGAGGGGCTTTATGAGTTGGAACTGGCTGAAAGGCAGCGACTTTTGAGCTGAGAAATATGCATTGGAATCCTAACCCTGTAGCCTGCGGATGTAATCCCATTTGAGACTAGGCTTTCCTTTGTGATGCTAATGGACCTATTTGTGGAGTGTGTGCCCTAAATCTAATTGCATCTGACACAGCTCAGCTCAGAGCAGCATATGCAAAGACAGAGGCAAGCAAGCACAGACCAGGAGGGGTGTCAGGCAGAGGAGGAAGCAGCCAAGTGAAGACAGCCCAGGATTGGGGCACACTGAGGCCACAGAAGGGGCACCAAGGGTCTTCCCGGAGCCCAGGAGCCCATCCCTGCAACCAGCTCTCCAAATCAGAACCTCCAACCTCCTAAAGTGTCAGGAAATAAAGTTCTGTTCTTTAAAGCACCCATTCAATAGTAGCATTTCTGTTACAGCAGCACCATGAAGCAAGACATTCCGCATCGTCCTACATGTCTGAGGGGCCCCTGGGGAGAGGTCATGGCTGAGGCAGGGCTGGGAAGACAACCCACACTTGAGTAAGTGACTTGTTTAGTCCACAAGTCAGGGTCCTGCCCAACATCTATAGGACTGTGGAGAGACTGGGAAGGGCACTGGGTTTCTTCCTGCCTCAGGAACACCTGAGGAGTTTCAGATTCCCCCATCTTGGGTCCCAGCCTTCAGAGCTTCCCATCTGCTTATGGGGGAGCCCTGGGTGAGGCATTTACAGCACTGCTGGTGATGCTATTGTGCAGCCAGGAGGAGAAGCATGTACACCCTGATAGTTTATTAGGTGAGCCCCATGGGCCCGTCACCCACACATCCCGACTCAGCCACCCCTGGACCTGTGACCTGCACATCCTGACTCAGCAACCCTGGGCCTGTCCCCTGCACATCCAAACTACTACAGATGATGCTGGAGGTTGGGGGTCAGGATGGGTGCAGGGCACATGCTGAGGGGCAAGATGGTGAAAATCTGGTAGCTGTCCAATCTGTATTTCTAGAATCCCCTGGAAAGTTCAGCTGATAAACAGTTCCTGATTTCCAGTCTAATTCGTATTTCAACTTTTCTTAAGATGAAAGCTCCCTTTTCCCCGAAGTTCATAAAAGAAAATCCCGTGCTGGCTAATTACAAAGTGTCTGTGGTATAGACTCGCTGAGATGCTTGGAGCTGCTTTCAGCCTCTGGACAAGGCTGTCTTTTTCAGGGACCCTGTGCTCAGGTCTGGAGGAGGAAGTGCCCCCAGGTGAGGCAGGTTTCATTGGTCTGCGCTCTCCACCTCTTAAAACAACCTCCTACCACGCCTCCCACCTAACACTGTGCAAAACAGCTTGAAGGGACAAAAAAGCACGCTCATTTCTTTAGTACTATCACGTTGTCATTGAAACTCAGTCCCCACCCAACTGTAACCTTACCGGTGACTTCTTAATGTCGGAGACAGCATAATTCCCCTGTGATATCCACCGGGCAGAGTCTGTTAATGACAGGCCAGTTCCGTAAAGGTTAATGCTAAAACGACCCTGGAAAAAATGACCAAAGAAGACAATTTTAAGTCCATGTGACACTCCAAGCCAAGGAAAAAAGCCTATGAATGTTCTCAGAAAGAAGAGGATAAGGTTAGAATGTTGTTGTTATGTGCCATCAAGTAGCTTGCGACTCATAGTGACCTTATGTACAACAGCCCTGAGCCCTGCTATACTGTCCCAACTTTACTGTCTCTGACACACCTACCCTCATTACCCCAGTCACTGCATCAATCCATCTCATTTATGGTCTCTTTCTCTTTCTCCGTCCCTCTACCCTTCCAAGCATGATGTCCCTCTCCAAAGACTAGTCCCTCCTTGCAACATGTCCAAAGTATGTCAGACGAAGCTTCAGAATCCTTGCCTCCAAGGAGCAGCCTGGCTTCACCCTCTCTAGAACGAACCTGCTTGTTCTCCTGGCAGTCCAGGGTATACTCAACACTAATTATTGAGCTCCACTCATGCCAATCGCCTAGCCGAGTCTGGTAATTTACACCTATCACCATACCGAAAGGGGCAATATTTACAAACGGGTAAATTGAAGCTCAGACAGGGAGCTCTGGTGGTTTAGGTGCACTTCTAACCCAAAGGCGTGCAGTTCGAATCCACTCGATGCTCTGCAGTAGAACAATGGGAAATCTCCTCCAGTGCAAACTATGGCCTGAGACCCTGCTAGAGGGTCAGCTAGGGGTTGATACCAATTCGATGGCAAACAACAACAACAACAACAAGATCCAGACAGGATTGCTGATGGTGCAGAGGATTAAGCATTGAGCTGCTAACAAAGGAAGAAGAACGAGGAGGCCGTGTGGATCCCTGGAGATTTCCAGCCTCAGAAACCCCACCAGGCAGCTCCACTCCGTCCTGCAGGGTTGCCCTGAGTCAATCAACGTGATGGCCATCAGCTCACAACTGCCTGACTTCAAAGTGCCTGCTCTCAGCCATGGCTATTCGGCTTCCCTAAAGCAGCAAGCCCGATGCTGCTCACAATTATCAGATTCCTTCAGGGACAAAATGCCACAGTGTAATTTTTCTAACAAGATCTTGCTGCCAAAGCTTCCCAGCTTCCAGCTCCCCGCCGGGATCAGGACACCGCTACTAAGCACAGCAGGGTGGGACTTCAAAGGGCCGTTCCTGAGGACGGCCAGCAGAGGGCACGCGCGGCCTGCTCAAGGCTGCCCAGGAAGCCGGCCACCTTCCCAGGCCAACAGAGACTAGGTATCACAGAGGGCTCCAGAGCTCTTATTTTATATTGGTTTGCTCATAAAGTTTGTCTACATTGCGCTCCACACTATCCTTCATTCATATTGTGTCTCATACAATCATTACCATGCGTTATGTTTTATAAAATCAATCACCATTGGATCTTGCCCATCATTATCCAATCTGGACCCAGGATTCTTAAAATGTGGCCTCAAGGGTTAGACAGTTCTTTCCAAGGAAAGGGTCCAGCAGAGAAATCCTCTTTTTCTCCATCTGTCTGTGTTTCCCAGACACCATTTCTCCCCAAGGCTTCTTCGTGTCCTCTGTTTATGCTGAGGGGGCACCTCTGACCATCTGGGGCCCTAATACAGGTCGTCCTGGTTATGGACCCCCAACTTGCAGACAATTCCACTTGCCTTTAACTTGAGGCCACTTGTACCCTCACTCTGAAACCAGCCGTGCTCACCACAATGCCATTACAATCACCTTGCTGTGCTTTGGGATTTTTCTTGTGTTCAAGGCTAAATAAGATTCTTTGTGCACCTGTTCTCATTTACCCAAAAATTCAACTTAAACATTTACTTAAAGACACAGCTGGCTGGCAATGTGAGGCCTCCTGTGCTCTGCAATGGGAGTCCAGAAGTTCTGCATCAACCCTTGTGCTTCATCCGCTTCAGACCTTTGTCAATCTTTCATAAAACAAGGTGAGTGGTGAGGCAGATGTGTATGAATTAGATCCTGGAAGCCTTTTTTTTTAAGTCTCTCAGAACCTCAGTTTACCCATCTGTAAAATGGAAGCTAATGAATACCCCACACAGTACTCGAGTGAGGATTAAACAAAATTGTGCTGTATTTACCTCTCTGTGGCTGGTCCTTAGCAGTTAACAAACAAACAAACCAGATAGTTTCTCATTGGAAATGTTAGTTTTACCTCACCGATGGTTAGGAATCTTAGTGTGAGCCGGGACTTGGTATAGTTAGGCTTTTTTGTCCTGGTTGGGTTGCTAACCAAACGTCCAACAGGCTGGAAAGAAAGATGGGCCATTTCCTTCTCTAAAGAGTCACAGCCACGCAAGTCCAATGGAGGGTCGTTAGGAATCAGAATATACATGAAAGCGGTGTTTATTTTAGTCTAGATATTTCATAGATTCTGAATGGATACTACATCCGAGCACCTTTATCAAGACATCTTTGGTGAACTAGGTGTGAGAGAAACTAGATTTCCTTTCCATTCCAGGTCCACAAAGTGTTGCTAACTCCCTTGGGAACCTTAGGTTCCTTATCTGTAAAATGGAGGCACAAAGACTATCTACTCACAGAAATAATAAGACAATTTAGATATACACTCGGATCTAAATTATAAATTATACATGTATAAATGTTTCTCATTGCCAACCAGTTGGAACTGACTCCTAGCCGATCCTCTAGCTGACTGAAGGCTGCTCACTGGCGTGCACCACCAGGGGGCGTGGCCTTTAGGTGAACAGTGCCAATTTAGTCTCATGTAAATCAGTGCTACATGACTTGCGGCAACATCTAGACACACTGTTAATGTCATAACCTGGGGACAAGGGTGCCACTGGCATCGACCTAGCAGACAGACCAAGGATGCTGCCATCACCAGACAGCCCACACTTGCCCCAAATTCCCCAGCCTCAAACGACAGGTGCAGAAGATGGATTTATGTGAGAATGTCAATGTCCCTGCTTGCTTTTAGTGTGACCTCGGGTGAGGTGCTTAACCTTTCTGAGTTCACCTGTAAAACCCTTCAGTAACATCTCGACAGCACTTAACAACAACAACAACATCTGAACTGTTGTAAGATATTGGCTCACCTATTTTGGGCATGTTGTCAGGATGGGCCAGTCATTGGAGAAGGACATCATATTCAGTAAAATAGATCTAAGGTCAGTGGAAGAGAGGAAGACCTTCAACAAGATCAATTGACGTGGTGGTTGCAAAAATGGGCTCAAATATGGCAGAGACTGTGAGGTGGTAGTGGGAGGCAGGATTTACCTGTCCTGTGTGAGATCACCAGGGGACAGAGCTGAGCCGATGGATGGCATCTAACTACCACACTTGGTGACTAGATGGGCATTAGCAAGACCACAGGACCAACCTCACTTCCTGTCAGTCAATACATAATATTTTCTTGCATGGACCCACAGCTGGCCCTCCAGCAAGCTTCTAGAGGCTGTAAGTTGAACAAGAAGAGATTGCCTGTCTTTCTTTCTTGGAACAATTAGTGGATTCGAACCACTTGCCTTTAGGTTGGTAGCACAACTACTTATTCATGAGGTCACTAGAGGTCCCCAAAATAGGTCACAGTTTTTTAAATATATTTGAAAATCCTTCTTCTGTCAGTACTATCCAGATGTAAGTGATCACTGTTTTTCTGGGTGCAGGTTTGTGATTACAGCAGCTCCGAGGCCCAGAGACCTCTTGTTCAATCTCCTCAAACACTGGGTCTGGTACAGCGTGGCTCTGCCTGGCCATTTTCTTATCTTTCCATCACCCCTGCCTCCAGCGGACCAGCCTGGTGTCTGGAGTTCACTGCACCCAGGCAGCTTCCTCTCCCCTCCCCCTTCCTCCTGCGCCCCACTCGGCCTGCCAACCCCGTTGGACTGCAGAGCTGGGCCCCATCTGCAGCAGCACCAAGTTCCTAGAAGGCTCAGCCCTGTCGCCCTGACCTGGCTCCCCGCCTGAGCACAAACACCTCTTGCTGCTCTGGGTGGCCTGGACCGGACCAGTGCAACAATTACTTCCGGTACATCTGCCTTCTCAGAGGGCGGAGACCAGCAGGGGACAGGCCATCTCCCTCCTATTCCTTCTTCTGCACACTCTATCTGATTAATCTGTTGTTCTGTTTGCTGTGCATCAGAACCAATTCATAATTGACCCTCAATAGCTTTTCTGAGGCTGAAATCCCATAGAAGGAGACTGTCCATCTTCTCTCCCGAGAGCCACAGGTAGATTCGAACCACTAAAGAGCGGTGGCCTTTAGGATAGCAGGCAACACCCTATTATCTAGTCAACTAGAGGAAGAGGGGCCTGAGCTTTTTCTAGACCACTATTGCTCCTAAAAGCTTCTCTCTGTGAGGTCAGAAGAGCACATGAATTTCATTGACAAGACCATTCATTATTGTTGAAATAGATAACTAGTAAAACGTGTATGAACATCTAAGGTGCGGGGAGTAGAGGGGTGAAGATGGGGGAGTAATCATAGGGCTGCACGATTTGATAGGTGGAGGGGTGGGTGGGTTAAGGAAATGGGAAAGATCCAGTGTGAAAACAATGTTCACAAACTTTGTAAGTAAACCAGGATAAAATACAAATTCTATTTTTTTTTTAAAAAAGAATACGTACTGCCTCCTTCTGCTATTTCAAAAGAGTGACAGTGACTAGAATCAACGCATACAAAGCTTCGCTGAGGATGCACCTTAGACCAAGTGGGATCTTGCTCTCTGCACAGAAGAAATGCTGCTGAAATCTTACCTGCAGACAATATAGACAGATATGCCTGTGCTCACGGGCCTGACTCAGACCCTGGGAAGTCAAACCCAGTCTTGGCTAGGCACAGCAGTTTGGGGTGGACAAGCCACCCAACCTGGCTACATCCATTTCTTCACCTGTCCAAGGGGCATGCTGGGTGCTGGGGCTATAAAAGGGAGCAGCCACGAGAATGTGGGAAACAGCCTGACAGTTCCTCAGTCAAGCTGAGAGAATTAGCACAAAAAACCAAAACACCAAACAGAACAACCAAGCACCCCAAAAAACAACTCCACAGCAAATTCACCATTATCTTGTCAGTTCTGATTCAGAGACCCACAACGGGGGTCTTAACAAAAGGGATTGCTCACTTCCCCCACCCCCCTCATATTGGCTGGTGGACTCAGACCACAGAAGACACAAGGCCTCTTGGTTCACAGACAGCACGTTCTGAACTACGCCACCACACGGCCCAACAATTCCACTCCTGTGCAGGAAACAGGAGACAGGGCATGTTGCTAAGAGAGGTTATTCCTTGGGGAGGGACGTCATGCTTGGAAGGGTGGGGGTATGGCGAAAGAGGAAGATTTTCAACCAGGCAGATTGACATAGTGACTGCAGGAGTGGCCTTGAGTGTGTCGGTGATTGTGAAGTTGGCACCGAATAGGACAGGGTTCAGGTCTGTGGTTCACAGGGCCACTGTGAGTCATACTCGACTCAATGGCACCTAACCACATGTTCACTGAAGCATAATCTACAAGTTAAAAGGCAGAAACAACCCAAATGTGAATAAGCAGAGGAATGGGTAAACCAATGTGCTACAGTGGAATACTACTCAGCCATGAAGAGAGGTGAAGTCTGGAGACGCTCTAGACAGGATGGCCCTTGATAACATCGTTGTCCTTGTTGGTAGCTGTTACTGAGTTGACCATGACCGTTGGCGACAGATCTGAACCTTGCCCCATGTGGGCCATCCTCATGGCCACCTCTGCCATTCTCAAGCCCACCATGTTGTATGAACTAAGTCAGACATGAAAGGACAAATATTACATGATTCCATTTATATGAAAGCCTTGAAGAGGCACAAGCACAAGGAGACCAGTGTGTTCCGTGGCTAAGGGGGAGGGTTGGATGGCGAATGGGAATCTTCTGCTTAGGGGACACAGAACTTCTGGAGAAGGGGATGAAGAAATTGAAAACAGAGAACGATAACGGTTGTACAACATAGCGACTATAATGTCACTGAAGTGTTCACATAAAAACAGTGGAAATGGTAAAACGATTACATATATTTCACCACAGTGAAAACTAAAAAAGAGAAATTCTACTTCATGGGCTGCTGAGCAGATTAGATGCTGGACCAGCTCAGAAAAGTATCTGAGCATAGTTAATGCTACTAGTAATAGCAGCATTGACAGCAATACTGACCACACACCAGTACGTTTACTGTGGCTAGGACCAAAAGAAAGCCATTCTGGTTATCTCCTGTGGTGAGGGCTCACAGAGAAATGAGCCTTAATGAGAAAAGCATTCTGCAAAAATGGAAATGAGTGAGGAGGAAAAAGATTCTCACAGGGCCACCGTCATGCTTTTATTTCTGTGTCTGTACGCTTGTACTTTCTTTACACCGTTTACTTAAAACACGCACGTCATTCTTCAATATACTTGGTGCTTAATAAATATCTCAAGAATTGAATGGTAAAAGTACCGATATGGCTGGGGGTGGGGGGAAACACAAATTAGCCTCTCACTGGCTTTAGATTTTCTCATTTAGCAATTGCCACAGTGCCAAGATTTAACAAATCAATCAGTTTATTTGTCTTTGAATTATTAAAATAAATGAATGCAAATTACCTTTCATTTACTTAAGCTTCCCAAAGGATGTACACATAGAAACAAGAAAATCCTGAGCCATTTGAAAAGGCACGACAGGCCCAATCTCTTAACCAGCCGTTAAAGCACAACTGATATGGCTTCGTGTTTGAAGTCTGAGTGTTCTAAAGAAACTGCACTTCAAAAGTTTTCCATCCCCGGGTGATAGAGGAAAGGCCCTTTCCCCATTATGGCCTTTGTTTATTTTCTTTCTCCCCAGAAAGCTTCCTTTTCACTTCTCTCAAATGTTTAGCAATGCTCTTCTAAAGCTGGGGGCTGAGAAAACACTTCTTTAAAAGCAAATTCAGATGTGTTTGTCTTTGGAAGTTTCTGGCCAGGAGAGATTCTGAAGGCTGCAGCCTGCACAGCACCAGGACCTGGGAAGGCAGGAAGGCAAAGTGGGGAATTTCATAGGCCCAGAGTTAAGCAGCAGCTTTGTGGAGTCCTCACGCGAACCCAAGACAAAACTGGGCCAGGTTCTCGTGTCCAGAATTTACTCATTCCTTCTACATGCCCTGCCTTCTAGTTACAGAACCCTCTCGCAAAGACAGATTTTGCTTTGCTAAATTGGCTTCTGCTGCACTGAGCTTCTGTTAACGGTGGTGGCTTAGCTGGACCAGGGGAACGGGGGTGCTTGCCCAGTACAATGAGGGTGACCAAGGCATGGGAAACTGAGTTGGCAAATGTTTCATACAGAGTTCACAATAACAATAATAATAAATACTGGAGGGGGAAAGGTTGCCCCAAACCGACAATTACAGTAGATTTCAAAAGCCAGTCTAAACTTCTCACACCTCTGAAGGGGGGAGAAACAGGGAACTACTGTTTAAAAGATATATATGATTAGGTATTATTATCATGACAAGAGTTCAGAATGAAGACTGCGTAGTGGAGTGGACTTGGGGGGAGGGATTGTATAACAAAGAAAGAATTTTTCTTTTACTTTTCAAGGAGAAGAACGAATTGGGAGGGAGGGGTGTGCAGGGAGAAAAGTGCAACAATGAATGAATGGAAATCCAAAGTCTCTGTAAACTTTCATGAAAATGTAATAATAATAATAATAACCCCCTCCCGAAAAAAAGAACAAAACCAAAACATGTAGAGAGAGGTGACTTGCTTGTTCTGCTGTCCAGCAGGCCAGCAGAAGACTGCCCATTTACAGGTTTTGGTCTGAACACTGCACAGTTCTAAAGATCTGACATGGGGCTAACGGTTGAGTCCATTACCTGCAGAGCCTCTCCTATATATGCCCACATGCCTGGACAACTTTTAGAACTATTAGATGGGCTGTTTATCTGGCTGTGACTTCTGAGGGTAGAAATTCCTCAAGAAATCCACATTTTCAAGCTTCCAGTAAAAAGGATGGCATGTGGCACAAAAAGTTTGCTCTCCACAAAGTTCAGCGACCCACTGTTAGGCTATTCTCGAAGCTTTTCTGACTCTGATTAAGCAGTCAAGTGAAACTGACTGAAATACTCCAACTATTAGATTCTCCAGGTCTGAGGTGTTTTGCTTACAAAGTGATAAAAAAAGTCATGTTTTATTTGGAACAAAATTAGAAAACATGGGAAAGGTAAAAACAAACAAACAAAATGTCTAAGAATGATACTTCCAGCACCTCCTGTTAGTATTTCGGGTTTTTCCTCCCAGATTTTTATCCATTTAAACATAAAAGCAAACAATACTGAGACACTGATGGAGTGCATTGTTTTGCACTTTCTTTTTTGGTCTTAACCCCATGAGTGGTTTTTCTCTACCATGTGACATACACACAATTTTCAGTGGCTGATGGTGTGTGGATGTGGGATTTCAACAGCCAATAATGTGCCTTGCTCCCAACTATCCACTGGGCCATAGTGCATGTGAAATTGGTCTTGAGATGTGCATTTACACCATGGACAGTGGCAGATACACAGATCACAGTGACTTCTCTTTTTTGTTTACAGATACGCGCTCACTAGAAATCAACTATTATTGCTTGTCATTTACTGCATGTGCCCTGGAAAATATGGGGGCGGCTGGAGCAATATACCAGGGGCACTTGGCCAGCTCGTACCTGTGGACACCTGACAGCGCTGTAGCAGTCCCCGGCGGTGGCGAAAGGGACGGGATGGCCTTCACTGGTCCTGGCAAACTGTAAGTCGGTGGCTATGGGGTGGAGACAGGGTAAAAATAGGAGAAGCAGTGAGCATGGGAGGAAGAAGTGGGAAGGAACAGAAGGATATGAGGTAGGGGGACAGAATGGGAGAAGAATAATAAGAGGAAAAATGAAAGAGGAGGAGGGAGAAAGAAACTATCCCAAATATGATCAGTGAACAAATGGATCCAGATGTTCACTTGCCATTTCGTTACATGTGTGCTTCTAGAACTTTGTTTCCTGCATTTTATCAGCACCGTCTTCTCAGAGGATGGAAGCCCCAAAGAGGGTTTTAATGACTTTGGAATAGATTTCTACATAAATAAATACATGAATCAGTGTGCTTAAATGTGAGGTAATTGAATGGCTGGGGAACCTCCTGGAACTCTGAAGCAAAGGCTTAGGGACCAGGGATCCGGGCCAGAGACACACTTCCAGCTACCGAGGACTTCCCCTGAGCTTTCCGCTGTCCTCCCGTGGCCTGGGCACTATTACTGCCAAAATGTGGGGCAATTAGAACTCACATCTTGAAATTATTATTGGTAATTTCTCAAGCTTGGGGCAAGCTTGCAGTTTGTTAAAAAATGTAATAAGAACAATACTGCCACAGAGCTTGTGTTTTTAAGCCTATTGCTGAGTTCCTGAGCCTAGTTTTACAAATGACAGGCAGATCAGGAGGAATCAGACATTGTCTGCTGGTAAATTAGGGCCAGAGTTGGGTCTTCCCTTTTGATTTGTCTTTCTTCTTGGTGGGGGCTGATGGTGGAGCAGAGTAGAGGGGTAGAGATGGCAAGGGTGCTTTGCAAAGTCAAAGGCAAGCTAGGAAAATATGCTTATATGGGAACATATTTCCCTGGCCAGATCTTATTCATTCTTTAAAAACTTATCTGAGAAGAAAAGAAACAACCACCCACCTCCTCTAGGAAGCCTTCCTAAGATTCTCCTGGCTCAGTTAGGCAATTTTTTGAGGCTTCACCTCACATATTTTGTGCATGTTACTTGGAGGGCCTATTCCTTGGAGAGGGACATGATGCTAGGAAGGGTGGAGGGTCAGCAAAGGAGAGGAAGAACATTCAGGTGGATTGATGCAGTGACTGCTGAAATGGGCTCTTGTGTATCAAGAAGTGTGAGGATGGCACAGGATAGAACAGGGTTCGGATAGAACAGGGTTCATAGTTTTGTTAATACTTGACAGCATACTTGACTTGACTGCACCTAACAACAACAACAACAACAGACTTTAACTTTATCAGGGCTGTGAACAATTGATGTGTATTTGATAAGCAGGTCAGACTGGGAGTCACTTGAGAGGAAGGGCTACAGGAAGCAGTCTAAGACATGGTGTGTTATTATTTCGTACCTGGGCATTCAATCTATGTTTGTTAAATGAAATAGCAAATAATAAAATAGGAGCTAATTCTCTACGATCTGGAGATGGGAAGACCTAGACGGTACCCACCTACCAATACTGATTGATCTTATGGAGATCACAGAAAGTTCTGGAGAGACATGAAGAAATATAGATAAAATCAGCAATTGTAAACCAGACTTACTATTCTGATAGAGACTTGTGAAACCCTAAGATGGTGACCATGAGGCACCCTTCAAATTTGGGGCTGAAACTACCCCCAGGGATCCTCTTTCTGCTGAATAACAACCCTCTAAAGTAAACAGCAACATCTGCAAGGTTGTGCCTCAGAATAACCGACCTCAGGAGACCAAGGGGCAGCATTTGTCACAAAACAAAGCTCGGGAGGTGGGAAGGGGCAGGAAGGAGGAGCTTGGGAGCCAGGAAGCCAGGGAGGAAGTGGGAAGGGTGCTGTCCGTGCATCAGAGGGATTGTAATTAATGTTATGAATAACAAAATCTGTACATAGTATTCAATGGAAAATGAGTTTGTTCTGTAAATTTTGGCCCAGCCCACAATTTTTTATTTATTTATTTTTTAAAAAGGTGTATGCTGAGTGCTGACTGTAGTTCTGTCCTTTGGAAAAGCAGTTCTGACACCACCTCCCATTACCACCATTCTCCCCCAATAATGGTGACTCGTGTTCTATGTGTTTCTCATTTAGTTTGGGCAATCATCCTAATTACCTCAAAAGGTGGTTGGTTAGTCTCTGGTTGGGATGAACAGCTAAGCACGTGGCTACTAATTGAAAGCCTGGCAGTTCGAATCCACCCAGAGGTGCCTTGGGAGAAAACTCTGGTGGTTTTCTTCCAAAAGACAACAGCCACTGAAAATGCTACAGAGCATATTTCTACTCTCAAACACACGGAGTCACCTTGAGTCGGGACGGACTTTCCAGTCTGGTCTACTACTCACAGAATCTGCTGTTAGAATGGGCACGCAGAGCTTGCTTCTCGCTGGTCTGCTCTGTCTCTTGGAACGGCAGAAGGAGGCCCTGATCTTCTGCATGGTTTACTTACTGCTCTGACTCACAATCAGAATCCTTCAAGACTCCACGGCTTAATGGGAGGAGACCTGCCCCAGAGCCACTAGTGGATTGGAACTGCTGGCGTCATGCACTTTTCTGGTTAGCAGTGCAACAAGCTATGGCACCAGAGTTCTGTGTGGAGACAGAGCTTGGCCTCCCTACTCTATAAGGAAACAGACCCTTCCTCATGTGAGATGCAGAAGGCCTAGACTTTGGCTGGAGTCTCCTCCTATGTGGAGAAACTGCAGACCCTTTTCTTTAGAGCTAATCTGTTGAGCTGAACACAGTTAAAAGTATGCTGGTACAAATCAAGTTTCATTTACCTCAAGAGAAAAGCCATGCACTATTACAAGTATAATGTTAATGAAGAAAATTTAATTATTCATTATTCTGTTTTTCATCTTTTGGAGGAAATGTGTTGAGCTTTGTTTGCTGTCCTTAGCCACTCGTATGATTAACGCCCCTCAGGAAAAGGCAGCGGTGGCCTGTGTATGCCGTCAGCTTTTGTGCAGGCTGGTTTCAAACAGGTGATTTTGTGCTCCATTTTTCTTCTGTAAATGGATGATTGGATGAAATTAACTCTCTCTTTCTCTGTGGGTGTGTGGATGGGTACCCAGGTCTACGCATTGTGCTAGGGGGAGCTGGCTGGAGTGAATGTTGCTAAACAATCTCTTAGCTGCAGGGTTTTATTTTTGTTCCTTCAACATAAAACCTCCTGCAGCTACCCTGGCTTTTCCTAATTCTTCCATGACCTGAGATCGCAACTGAGGTGTCATATTTTCTGGGATGCAGCCATGACTCTCCAGGTCACAGCGGCGTCCCTTTAACAGGCTTCCTTTCTCTTTAAAGAGAGCACTGACCCCGGGCAAGCACTTTCTTGGCACCGGGAACATGGCAGAAAGGCCAAAAAAAGGGAAGTCCTTTTTTGCTGTAAATGGATGGTCCGCTTTGCATCTTGTCTGTCTTTGCATCCCGAGCCCCTGGCCCCTAGGTAGCCTGCAGGACTTGCTTGCTCACCCCACAGGTCACCCCTCCTCACTTACTGACTATGTGCATGGTGGCCAGGTCTATCCTGATCTTCTGGAAGGTGGAAAAGCCCGCTGCTGTGTAGTCCTTCCGGCACTGGCAGTCATCCCGCCGGCTCCCGTTGTAGGGACACTCTGTCGGATTGTGCAGTCTAAACAGAGAGAAGGTCCTATAAGGATGGGAAGGCATGGCCAGGGATTGCCAGCCATCTCTGCACCTGCACACACTTACCTGTGCCCGTAAACCTCAGAGAAATTCTCAGAGTCACCATGGACCAGCGTCACATACTCTTTGGGGCGGTCCGAATACATCCCGGCACAGAACACCTGAGAGAGAGAGACCAGTGAGCCGTGAGGAGCAGTCAGAGGTAGGACAAGGAGAGCTGAGACCACACACACAAATGTGTAGAAATGAGGACCAGCAATCACCTTCAGGAGCTTTCCTCTAATGAGCAAGAAATATTCACCATCTTCGTTGGCACCGTTGAGTCGTTTAACCTCCCTGCAGTTCTGGGGTAACTCACCTAGAAAACACAGCACCAAAACTGAGGTGTGATGTTACTGTCAGTCCAGACACGCACTTAGAAAATGAGTCACACTACATTTGTCTGGTCCAGGATACTGTTCCTTTAACAACAAGCATGCAAACAAGTCAACAAAAAACTCGGCTCTTCCTGCTAGAGAAAGATGGCTTCTGCAGGCCAGCTTACAGTTGTAGATGTTGTGGCAGGTTTTCCTTTCTTCCGGCTTCAGGTCAATGGGGCAGAGGTGGCTGGGCTGGTCCTCGTTGGTTAAACACTGCACAGATCTATGCATCACTCCAACACCGCAAGACACCGAGCACTGGAAGGCAAGCCAGAGATGGGTGTGGACGTCAGCCTGGACACACCACACTCTCTGCGAGGCCTGGACACACGTTCTCTATAGGGCCTGGATGCACGGGCTTAGCGGAGCCTGAATACACAGGCTTCACGGGGTGCAGCTGGGGGCCTGCTTACAGGTCCAGGGTGTGGCTGAAAGCAAATAGCTGCTATTTACTGAGTGTACCAGTTCCTGTGCTAAGCTGTGCTAAGCTCTAGGAATACACATTTGTACACCAAATTCACAGCTGTGCAGTCTCTTCTGACTCATGATGACCCCTTCATCAGGGTTCTGAGGTTGCCAATCTTTATGAGACAAGACTGCTCATCTTCCTCCTATGAAGTGCTTTGGTGGATTTGAACCATTGACCTTTGATAGTAGCCCACCATGTAACAGAGCACACCGCCAACCTCATAGTAACACTCTACATTATGTGGCTTTTACAAATGAGACACCGGGGCTCAGATACTAAGTAGTCTGTTCAAGGTCATAGTGGATTCAGGATTCAAGGCTGGACCCCTTTCCACAGGCCACTTGCTCCGCCTGATCCCTTTAAAAGACTGAGGACGCCATTACCCCATTAGTCCTGTGCCAGGCCCATGGTCATTTTCTAGGACAGTCCCTACATAAACTATGGTCCCTTTCTGTGCTCTGATACAATGACATGGGTTTGACACAGAAGATCTAGAATGTAAGCGGGAGCTCTGGGGGCGTGGCTAGCAGCTTAAATCCACCAGTGACTTCGCAGAAGAAAGGTGTGCAGTCTCCTGTGTGACTCACAGCCTTGGGATCCCAGTGGGGTCAGATATGAGTGAGTTCCACCTCGCCCCCAATGGGTTGTTTGTTGACTTGGGAAGGTTGAGACTTCTCAGCAGGGCAACAACTAACACCTCTGTAACTCTTAGGCCCTGATGGAGTCCTAAGTGCCTTATAAACACCTTGTTGTTAGGAGCCCCGAAGAATGACTCATAGCAACCCAAGAACAACAGATCTGAACCCTCCCTGTTCTATCCCGAGCCATCCTCATCATCCACAACACACCCCCAACAGCTGCAGTCATTGTCAATACTTCTCGTTAAGCTTGTTAAGAGTTTTCTTCTTTTGCCTGCCCTCCCACCATTTGAAGCATAATGTCATTTTCCAAGAAATAACCTCTCCTAACAACAAGTCCAAAGTATGTGAGTGAAGCTTTGTCATCACGGCCTCCAAGCAGCATTCTGGTTACACCTTCCCCAGGTAAAAACCTGAATCTGCGTGAGGTGGAAATCTGTCAGAGAAGGAAGATCAAAGTATTTCCCAGAAACAGAAAGAGAAAAGCAATGAGAACATGTGGGACACAGAGGAGCAAAGCAGTCCTGCCAAGTTCTGCCTCTCACAGGTTTCAGGTCAAATTTACCCGTTAATACAACCACCCATTCTGTAGATGGGGTGTGTGTGTGTGTGTGTGTGTGTGTGTGAAGAGAGAGGTGCAGAATCTCTACAGCTTGCCCAAGCCATGCAATTGGGAGTAGGCAGAACCAGGCAGGACAGGCTGTGTGACTGCAGGGTCCTCCCTGTAAGCACCGCCCCACCCTGCAGACCAGACACAGGCCCTGGTAGCCCCCCATCAGCCCATTTCAAACTGAGGATTCTGGCTGCTCAGAAGGGGAGCGACTGGGAGAGCAGGGCAGGCGGAATGTTGCAGCAGTGCTGCTGGGATCCCGCACCTTTCAGCCTCAGGGCAGCTCTGGTCTTACTTACGCTTCCCCAGTTGCCGACTCTCCAGGTGGCCGAGACCGGGCATTCCCGCAGGTAGCAGGGGTGGACGCTGGGGGGCTGCGTGCCCGGGCAGTTGACGGTGGTCTGGTAGCTGTACTCATAGTTCTCCTTCCCAGTGTAGATCTCGCTGCACGAGACCAGCCTTTGTTTGTAGCCCTTTCCACAGGTCACTGAGCACTGAGAACAGAGGGGTTGAGAAGAGAGGTTCAAGCGGCTCCCCAGGGCAGCCCACAATAGGCCCCTGACCTCCCACAATAGGCCCCTGACCTCCGAGCGGAAAGCTGACCCCGTCACAATGCTGCTGAGCGCTCCCACTTTATTAGTTTATTTATTCATTTCAGATGACAGGCCCTGAGCACACGGGGGACATGCAACCATATATGTCGCCTTCTGGGATCCAGGCTTCCACTCTGTCTCCTTGGCCCCTGCTGGAGGCCTGGGGCACCTCACCCCTTGGAGGGATTTCACCAAGTGAGGAGCTCTCACCATATGGATTGGCACATCTTATCCTTCCAACCCTGCTGTGACAGTGTCTACACTGGGGAAGAGCGGCCGGAATTCTGAGTGAGCAATTCAAGCCTACTGCCAAGGGGGATGTCTCAGGAGAGGTCTCCTTCCCCATTGAGGCTTTCTACATTCTACTTTCTATATATCTGCATTTCTGCATTGCTCTCTGTCCTCCATTTAATGCCCTACCCCTTTCCAAGTTACATATCCTGGTTAAAATGCTATCTTCCTGCTTTACTATCCAAGGGGATGCAAACAGTGTGCTGCATTGTTAGGCAAAAGGTGGGAAGTTCAAGTCCACATGGAAGTGCCTCAGCAGAAAGGACTGGCAATCTACTTCTGAGAAGTCAGCCACTGAGAACCCTCCAGAGCAGTTCTCCTCCGACATGCACGTGGGGTGGCCCGGAGATGGAGTCAGCTTGATGAGAGGTATTAGTAGAGTGCTCTATCCCGTTACCTTTAGGTGGTCAGTTAATGCTTATCCTAACTGAACTGATCCGTTATTCAGCACACTTCTGTGGTGGGACAGTTAATTGATTATAAGATTTTATAATACATTCAAATTCCCTAGTTAAGGATTTCTCTAGCTTGTGCTGGTTTTTTAAAGCTCTGTTCCTTCCCTGTCTCCCTCAGAGACTCTGGCACTAGCTCTAGCTTTCTCTTCCCCCCAATATCACACGGTGTATGTGAAGCACCAAGTCTCTGAAAGGCAGCAAAACGGCTGTATATGTTATTATAACGTTGGCATATGACACTAAATATTTCTTAAACTCCACAGAATTTCACAGATTGACAAAGAGTGAATCCTAACATAAACAATGGATTTTCATGACTAACAATGGATCAGTATTGGTTTGTTAACCATAACAAATCTAACCCACTGAAAAGATGTCCGGCTTGGAAAAGTAGAGGGTCTGTGAAAGAGAGGACGATCACCGTTGAGAAGGGCTGACACAGTGACTGCAGCAAGGGGCTTGAGCATGGTGGGACTGTGGGGACGGTGGGGACCGGGCAAGGTTTCCAGCTGCTGTGCCCTGAATCGCTAGGAGCTGTAGCTGACTAGACAACACCTAGGCATAACATGCATAACACGGACAACAGCAGAAATTGTGTGTGTGTGTGTGTGGGGCACATTAAAGCTGTATTTAATGCATAATTTTTCTGTAAGCAGAAGAACAGTTCAAAAAATGAAGTATTAAGAAAAATGGAATAAAAATTCATATAGCTTTGATGATTTTTTTCTTTTCCTTAAAGACAATACCATTAAAGAGCTGGCCAACCCTTGCAAAGGTGTTACCTAAAATTATGGTGGTGCATCAGCACCCCGGGTGGTGCTTGTTTACTAACCAAAAGGTTGTGGGTTTGAATCCATCTAGGGATACCTTGGGAGAGAGGCCTGGTGATCTTCCTCCTCTGAAAGAGCACAGCCCATGGAAACCTGCTGGAATACAGTTCTACCCTGCCTCTTTGTGGGATCCTTGAGAACCAGCATTGAGGTGACAACAGATACTTAGTTTTGGTTGTATCTGTATCCTCCAGACCAAAGTTTTCTTTGGGAGGGTCTTCTGAAGTCCTGAAGCCACAGACAGCACATGCGCACAGACACTTATACTTTTTCTGGATTGAAGGATCTAAAGGGTGTATACTGTGTCTTTTGTTTCCTCACATCTTCTAAGGTGTTGCTTGAAGTCACACTGTTCTCCTGTCTTGTAGTTCATTCAGGGAGAAAGCTCCACTTGGAGAGATCCCAGAGGCTGGGAGAACAGGCCCAGCCAGAGGCATAGAGTGGTCCAAGCCTTCTCAGCCACTAGCTGGGCCAGGACATGTTCTGTGAACAATTTCTTCCTTCTTTGATTGCAGCTGTTTAAATGGTCGGGGCCCCATTTGTCAACAGACCAGGGGAGAGCAAGGCTAGTTCATGGTGTTGTCTGCCTGGATAAACGGCCAACCAGCCCTCTGCCTGGCCATGCTATGGGCATCCTGAAGCCCCTAACTCAGGGCTTGCACATACTGATTTCAGTCTGTAGGGATTTAACGGACAAGGCTGAGAAAGCAAATGCTGAGCCTGTTACCCTACAAAGTAGGAAGGAAAGCAGCCCAGGGATCCTTTCTATGGGGAGTACCATGAGAGAAAGGTTACTTTTTTTATGAAACGAAGTGCCAAATGTGGTCAGGCTCAATTCTGAAGCCACCACAGCTCTGAAGAGAAACTGCAAAGACTAGACACCAGTCAGCAGCACTGTGAAAATGCTGACTGTCCCCAGTGTCCCTAAACCACATCAGACCAGGCTTTCGGAGCGTAAGAGGCAGAACCAACTGGGAGAGGTGAACACCTCAGGAGAGTGACACCATGTCCAAACACCCTCCGTCACCCCCAACCTCGGGAGCTGAGGCGCCTAGAACTTAAGCTTCAGACCCAAAGTCCTGGGTGATTCTGAAAGCTCATTTGGATTCCACATGCTGCTGGCTGGTCAGCAGTGGTCTCTGCTGTGGACCATGTCTTCTCACCACTCCCCAGGGGCCTGTAGTACTGGGCAGGGCAGACCAAGAACATGTGGAGTGTGTTAGGGCAAGACTCCTCAACCTCAGCATCTTCTGAGCTGAGTTCTTCTTGGTGGTGGGGCTGTGCTGTGCCCTGCAGGGTGGTTTGCAGTGTCCCAGACATCTCCCCACGAGATGCCCCCAGCACAGCCTAACAATGTCTCCACATGACCGGGAGTTCCTGCAGGGGACAACCACTGGAGGGGGAGAGGGGGGACGTTAGGGCCAGCTTTAGTGAGGGAACCATGCAGTGCCTGATGCAAACATCGGCTAAATTCATCCTTTTAACATATAAAATGCCTCCTATCAACTTTGACATGACTGCGGTGATAGTGAGCACATAATCCTAAAGCTCTTTAGCACTTTTGCTATAAGCTTGAATGCTTCCCTTTCATAATTTTAAAATTAGGGGAGAGGGGTAAATGGCAAATTAGTTTGATGTTCTAGATCTTTCAATATTTGGGGAAATTGTAACATTTGAAAAAAGAATATTATTATTTTTGTATTATTTATTATTAGGTGCTGTTGAAGCAACTCACAGCAACTTACTATACAACAGACTGAAACCTTGCAAGGCTGTTACCATTGGTTCTTACGGTAATGATAACGATACTGGTTTACTATGATGACTAAAAAGCATTTACATAGGCAGTGTGTGTAAGAGGAGATGAGAAAGACTCTTTGGATCTTATTAGAAGAATAATTTTGCTCTTCCAGATCTGAAGTTATGAGCAGATAATCCGTATCTGGTGCACAGTATTTGGTTTGCTCGCAAAATGTTTCAAACAAAACATGTGAGTTTATGTAGTGAAATACGACATATCATATGAAAGTCTAGAGGTCTGACTTCTGAAAAATTCTATTTATCCACACCAGGTGCTCCTCTCTGCTTGGTCTCCCTGGTCTGGAAGGCAGAGAGCCTGCTCCGTTTACAAAGCTCATTTGTCTCCTCTCTCTGATGTCTCCCTGACTGTAAATTTTCTTTTTTTTTTCTTGTTAGATTTCTTCAGGCACCTGCAGGTATTCTAAGAACCTGACATACTTTAGACATGTTGCAAGGAGGGATCGGTGCTTGGAGAGGGACGTCATGCTTGGGAGGGTGGAGCGAAGAGATGAAGACCCTCGATGAGATGGATTGATTCAGTGACTGGGGTAATGGGGGTAGGCGTGTCGGAGACAGTGAGATTGGCATAGGATACAGCAGGGTGTAGGGCTGTTAAACATAGGGTTACTTACTATGAGTCGCAGGCAACTTGATGGCACATAACACCACCACCACCAGTCTCTGTGTTCATGAAATCCTTCCTAATCAGACCAACAGGACGTTAAGGGGAAACACAGGACATAAAGGTGGCAGGGAGTTTAGAGGCCATTTCCCACCTGCCGTTTAGTTTGTGAATGTGAGAACTCTGCCCTGTTAGGCAAAGGGACTGACTTTCTTTGAGAGCACACAACGACCTGGGACAGAATTGGCAGGTGCAGCTGAGGTCAGGCATCCCTTGCTCTTCTCATGACGCTCCCCTCAGGCCATGGTCGATCTGAGGGTGGTTATGGCCCCCAGGACATACCTCTGACCATTCTCCTGTGATCCACACGTACTCGCAGGGCTGTAGGCTGCAGCTCTCGTGGTCAGCAGGCCGCTGGGCCATGTCACAGTGCACGCCATGAACCTCGCCCTGGCCTTCCTCCACACACACCACCTTGCGGTACCTGGAGCCGTCCCCGCAAGTCTTGGTACACTGTGCAAGACAGACATAACCAGATTTGAAGTGGAAAGATGACATTAAATCACGCTATTACAGATTCTTGTTGTTCACAACAGTTATGTCTCCACAGACACTGAATTAGTGAAGGGGGAACCAGCCTGGCTGCGTCTCCACTGGGAATGTGTGACCTTGGAAACACCGTGAGTATTGATTGTGGAGTTGCAAATAAATTTTAGCAAGTAGACACTACCTAAACCACATGTCTCCGGAAACCCTATGAACTTTGAGAAATGTCACTAGTTGTGGAGGGGCTTCAGGCCTTTGGTTCATAGGGTTGCTATGAGTCATGCTCGACTCGAAGGCAATCAAGAACAACAGATGAATCTGTAGTATGGAATCTCTAAATAATGAGGATTGAAGAGTTCATTCACAAGACAGGAACAGTGCTGTTTTGTAACTGGGCTTTAAAAAAAAGATGAGTTCTCCGATGATTCAGAGAAGTCTCATAGTCCTAAGGGAATGTTATTGTTATGTGCAGTTGAGTCACCTGCAACTCATAGTGACCCTGTGTACAACAGCCCTAAACCCTACTCTATCCTGTGCCAATCTTACTGTCTCTGACACATTTACCCCCACTACCCCAGTTACTGAATTAATACATCACGTTGAGGACCTATACAGGTAGGTAAATAAATACATATCATTGATTCTATTTTAGTGGGAATGATTTCCTCCTCTCTGTTCACTTACATAAGAGATTTGTTGCAAAGGACCTTTAAACTGAGCAAGGACATCACTTTGAGGACTAAGGCACACTTCACAAAAGCCATATTCAATCACCTCATATGCATGTGGAAGTTGGGCGGTAAACAGAGAAGACTGAAGAAGAATGGACACTTTTGAATTATGGTATTGATGAAGAATACAGAATATACCAAGGACGGGCAGAATAATTGTCTGAAAAGAAGTGTAGTCAGAATGCTCCTTAGGAACGTGGACAGTGAGACTTCATCTCACACACCCTGGGCACGTTCTCAGAAGGCACCAGGCACTGGAGAAGGACATGATGCTGGGAATAAAGCAGAGATGCAGCAAAGAAGAGGAAGAGTCTCTGTGAGCTGACCTGGTGCAGGGGCTCCAGTGGTGGGCTTGCGGGCAGCAGTGATTGTGCACATGCTATGGGGCTCGGCAGTGTTTCTATTGTATAAGGCACTGTGAACACGGAGAAGCGAGGAGCTGGAACCACCTTCCACTGTACACGGCGCTGGGAGTATGTGGCGCTGGGAGCTGGAATCAACCGGGTGGCTCCCAGCAGCTCTCTTCACAGTGCTTCCCATTCTCACTTGTATCCCAGACCCATCTGCGGACTGGTGAATACTGCTGTGAGCTTGGAACATGCATGTGCACATTTGAATATCCCATTCTCATTCTGAAGGGTATATATCGGTGCTGCCAACCCAAAGGTACATGGTTCAAACCTACCAGCTACTCTGCGGGAGAAAGATGAACAATCTTATTCCGGGCCATTTACTGCCTTTGAAAACCCATTGGAGGGTCAGTTTCAACTTGATGGTACATAACAACAATAGGAGTACTTAGGAGTATAGCTGCTCAGTGGTATGGTCTATCTTTTGTTCTTTAGGGATATAGAAAGAGTCACTGGTCTACCCTTACTAGGACAAATCCTTTGCTCCTAAGCAGTGGGAATCTTGAGCTATGTGTGCTAGTAACACACTTCCATTTCTATGCTGTAAAGTGATTTCTAACGTTTTGGGGGTATGAATGTGACTCCTACATACTGTGAGGTGAAAATGGAAAAGTAAATCACTTGAAGTTGGTGCCAGAGGCTGGCTGAGTCCAGGGCTCTAGTGTGAGTAAAGAAAGATAACAACCCAGCTAATCTGTGCTGTGTACATGCGTGCTGAAGACGTAACGCCTTATGCAAAATAAAATTCCTTTGAGAAGTTAGTTCTCTAGAAAATGCATCATTAAGTGACTAAGAGAAGATCATGATTACCTAGTTTGTTCTTGTTGTGTACCATCGAGTCAGAATTCCCCCATAACTGACCCTCCAGTTAATCACAGGGGAAGAGATTGCCCATCCTTCTCCTGTGGAGAAGCTGGTGGATTTGAACCACGTTCTTCGAGATTGCAGCACAACTTCTTACCACTAAGGCCACCAGAGCTCCCTGTTACCTAGTACCCAAACCTAACTTCAAGCTGCCCGCTTCCCTTCTTGTATTTTTACAACCCACTCAGCTTATTCTGCAACAATAAGTAACAGTGGAAAGCAGAAAAGCAGTGTTTTCTGCATACTTCATGCTTGTTAAGTGCTTCTCCCTTGGTCTTGGTGAATGGTTAACCACAAGAGAAAATATTTTGTCAATGCTGTTGGGAGCCCTGAAATAAAAGGGGAGTTGGGAACAAAGATTTGCCAGTGGGAAAAAGAAAATCAAGAAGCCTTAGCTGGAATACTACTTTTAGAAAAATTAACCTAAGTAAATAAGTGACTTGCTGGGAGCTTTGGATTAACAGTGGCTCTGAAAATCACGTAGTAAGGATTTTCTTCTGGTGTCTTAAAGTTTAACTAAGTTACTGTTTTGTTAGGTGGTGTCCAGTTCAGTCCACTCATAGCAACCCTAGGAACATGCCTGAACCCTACCCTGTCCTGTGCCACCCTGACATACTAGTCATTGCTGTCAATCCATCTCGCTGGAGGTCTTCCTCTCCCTTGCTGGACTCATCAGCCTGAGTTCTCTGTGGAGGCAAAGACGGCAAAGCCTTGCCTTTCCTACTTGGGATATGTAGCTTTTGTAACTAAGTTGTAGAAACTGTATAATCAGAAAACAAACCCAGCCTGTGCTATTGGCTAGATCAGCCTTTGATATACTTTCCCATGCTCTCTGTACTTTACATCTCTCTGCCTCGCCCTGGAATATGATCTAGAATCTCTGATAAAATAGTTTAAAAAATTCAGCTAGATTAATTTTAATTTCCAAAAGGTTTTCTCAAATTTCATCTTGGCTTTTAGGAACAAAAAAAATCTGACAAGTTATTGTGCCACCAGCCTCCTTGAATTTCTACACACTTCACAGTTCAGGAAGACAACGGAAACTGCTGTGCTAAATTAGGTAGCTTGCCCACTGGCTACAAGAAATCTGCCCCTTTAAATGTGCTGAAATTAACAAGAGAAGGGACAGGTACTTCTGACAGAGGGGAAGGAAGATACATAAGCTGGCCATAGAGTCACTTGGTAGAATGGGTAGAAATTATGTTTCCTTAAAGATTGTGGTCAAGTTGCTTAAATTTTTCAAAAATATTTTTTGCTACATTCCCTCACTACTGGGGAGGAGGGTGGAAATCCCTTTACACTGACTGTGATGAAAAAAGCTGAAGTTTGAGCCCCAAGTTAGCATTGCTGGATGATAGATATATGAACTGGGACATCTTGGAACCAAAGAGGCACCGAAGAGTACAGGATTCTTTGTGTGTTGTGTTGAGCTCTGAAGTGATTAGGAGCTGTGATTGCAAATCGAATCATCTAATACAGTGGTTATGTGCTGTCAACTTACCTGTGACTTATAGTGACCCTCTGTACAACAGCTCTGAAGCCTGCCCTGTCCTGAGCTAGTTTCACTGACTCCGACACACTTATTCCCATTACCCCAGTTATTGTGTTAATGCATCATCTGGGGTCTTTCTCTTCTGCACTGTCCTGCCACCTTTCTGAGCATGATGTCCTTCTCCAAGGACCAGTCTCTCCTGAACACGAGCCCAAAATATGTGAGACAGAACTTCAAAATCCTAACCTCCAAAGAGAAACTTGTTTTTACCCTCTCCAAGACAAAGAGTAGTCTTCAAATTATCAATGGATTCTGTTTTCCAGCCTAATTTTTTAAGTCAGAAATTTAGAATTTAGACAATTTGCCCCCAAAATAGTATTTGTAAAGGGAAAAGGAGGTAGAAATAATACTATGGAGCCTTTTTTTGACTTTAAAGTAATTCCTTTATCCAACTTGGTGGGGGCTGGGAGACAGCCTGGCATCTCCTCACTTGCCTTCTTTCTGTGGGACACAGGGAGGCAGTTACCATCACCTTGGGATCAGGTCAGCTGGATAACTGTTGGCTACTGGGTCTTAGCACCTGGGTCATCTTGCGTGATTGTTGGGAGCAGAGCTGGGCTCATAACAGATCTCTCAGGTGGTGAAAAAAGTTAAGTGCTTGGCTGAGTAACAAAAGCTTGGCAGTTCAAATCCACCCAGAGGTGCTTCAGGAAAACAAACAAACAACCAACCACTCAAAACAATGATGATCTGCTTCTGAAAAACCAGCCAGTGAAAATCCAACGGAGCTCAGCTGTACTCCAGCACACAGGAGAGGGAGTTGCCTGGAGTTAAAATAGACTTAAGGGCAATCCCCACACACCCTGCAGGTAACAGAGGAGGTAACTGAGAAAGAAAACAGCAGCACCTCCTGACAGAAATGGGAGAGAGGGACGAAGGGGTGGTCATTTCCAGAGTCACAACACGGGACACCTAGGGAGTGATGGATGACGGGGAGGAATAAAGGAGGTGATCAGAGAAGGAGAGGCTATTCTCAGGGGGGTTCAGCCTATGAAGCAGGAGGTGGAGGGGGTGAGAAATTACTCTGAACACAGTGGAGGAGGAAGGTCTGTGATGTGGGGAAAGGAGAGTCAAGTCCCTGGGTGATGCACATGGTTACGTACATAACTGTTAATGGAAAGGCTGGAGGGTAAAATCCACCCATAGCTGCCTTGTTAGAAAAGCCTGATGGTTTACTTCTAAAATATCAGTCACTGAAACTCCTACAGGTGTAGTTCTCTGAGATTTGGTTCCTTGTTGATTGAATGGATTCGATGACAAGTGGGTTTTTCCAGTCTGAGGCTATTCCCACGGCTGTCTGGTCAATTCTAACTCACACCGAGCCTCCACTGAGTGTCCGAGGCTGTAACCCTTAACAGGTGGAGACTGCCCATCTTTCTCCACAAAGCAGCTGGTGAATTTGAACCGCTG